GTTTCCCATAAATTGATGCCTCAGTCATTGAATATAGAAATTGATAAACCTAGGTTGGACACACAAGATCAAACAGCATTTTAGAGAATGTAAAATGTATACCTTTTGAGCAAAGAAAGGGTTTAACACATCCTAAAAATTGACCTTGATAATGAGAACATATTCAGATCTCATGGAGAATGAAAGCTGGGGGGAAAAAAGCCATCTGAGGTGGCCAAATGACCCTTTATGCTTTGATTCATGTCCATGCTTTATCTTCAGTTTTTCTAGCATGATATTTTTGACATGACATGATTGGAAAGCAAGCGCTCCTGTTTTTTAAGTTTTCCAACTAATACTGATTTAAGATAATAAGCCATTTGTCTATAGTATGATTAGTAGTTTTATGAGAAAATAGCTAATATCTATTTGAAATAATCTGATGCTACCAACTAGTGACCTTGCGATCATCAGAGATTATTTGAATGAAGGGTAGAACCAGATTTCTTCCACTCTTGCTTTACAAAATAAGGAGCTACACAAAGATATTGCTTACTAGTCTCTTTGAACCCTTCCAGAGGCTTATGCTTTAAGACTCTATATAGGACTACAGTCTTGATTAAAGTTGCTGTTTGGCATAACCAACTTCCAGAGACTTTTCTTTTACCATCCATATTTTAATAGGCAGCTTCCTAGGAAGTAAGAGTTCATTTAAAAGTTCCCCAACTCGTCAATTTTGGTAGGTGTTTCAGTGGATGTAAAGATCCTCTTTTGTTTCCAAAACATCAGAAAGTCATGTATTACTCCAAAAACATGCTTGCTATCTGTATAAATGTTTATGTGCTTTGGCATAGTAAGTTTTAGTAAGTGCAATAAGTTTAGCGATCTAGGTTGATTTTACCCTAGGTAGAGCACAATTTCAATAAGATGAGCTTAATTTAATGAGACCATATCCTCATTGATAACCTCCATTTTCAGCTTTGAGGTATGATTCATAAACAAATAATAGGTCTCAGTCATTAATGAGAGATTCTAATAAGTGTAAGCAAGGTAGAGAAGTTTTCTTTCTGAGATGATACAATCACGAGGATCTTTTTTACTGGTAGGGACACAAGAGTAGTGTCAGGATTCAGGGTGTTGCATCAGTGAACAGTAATGCAAGAAGTAGAGAGTAACAGAATTTCAAGAGGCTAATTGGATGACTGAGGGTGTGTGTTCTTAATCACCCTGCTTTACTGTGTGAGGTCAAATGGGTTGCTAGAACTAGTTCAGCAAAGCATTAACAAGTTTGAAGTGACAGCTATTGCTCCAAGGCAAGGGAGGTAAGACTTTGCAACCAGGTCAAGGGTGAAACTATTCTAAATGATGGGGTTTTTTAAATGATTCCCACAATGTTGAGTTAAGATCCCAAAGACTTGTCCAGATTGCATGTATATAAACAGAGGGCTTTTTGCAGGTAGGGAAGACTTGTTCATGTTTAAGCTCCTGGAGAAAGGAATTTCTTTCATTGACAGTTTAGTCCATTTATAAACAGGTGTTGCAATCTCAGAAAAATTTGACACCCATTTCCTGCAGTATCCAAATAAGCTCAGAAATCTGCTCAACTGTCATTTTATTAAGAGTCTATGATAAGTTTGGATGCTCTTTAGTCCATTTGAAGAGAAGTTCTCCCTCTTCAAATAGGTCACACCATAAATAATGGACTGTGCTTTGGCAGATTGGTAGTTTATCTTTTGAAACTTTATGTCCATTTTCTGCTAAGACCAGATCAAGTAAATAGAATCTTTTTTTTACACGCTTCTTTGTTCTCTGAACAAAGTATTTTTTCTTTAAATAAATCATCTATGTATTGTTTGAGAACTGAGTCACACAGAAAATTTATGTCTTTTTAGTTTTGAATGAAGACCTAGGATAAATAGAAGAGAGCTTCAGTAAACACCTGGAGCATAACTTTCCACAAATATCATTGTCCTCCATAAGTTTAGGCAAAATGGTATTGATTGTCCTGAGCTAGGGGAATACTGAAATGGACAGAAAAGAAGACCATTATGGTGAAAGAGGGTGCTTTAGGAATTGATGCCAGGATTGTATGTGGGTTAGGTACCACTGGGAAGAAAGAAAGAATTTTGTGAAATAGCTTGATTTCATGAACGAATTGATATCATTGTTCATTTGGTTTATTCGCTGATGGAAGAGTTATAAGGACTACTGCAGACTATGAAATGGCTTTTAGATAGAACTTCTTCAACTCTAGCTTTGAGTCTACTTTAACTGGCTTCAAGGGGTATTGTGGAAGTAGACAGTTTGGTAGGTCCTTTCTGAACTTTAATAGGTTCTTCACTAATTATTTTTCCTACTTCAATAGAAATTTTCGTCCATAAAGCATCAAGTATGGTGTCAAGATCTTTAACTGGGGTATACAACAAATATAATGGAGATAGCAAAGGTATATCCAGAGCAGACACACTATGATTCTGAATATTGGAGTTCTCTGGGATCTCAAGAAATAGTCCCTCTGTACACTTAATATTATAATTCCATTTGCAAAGTAAATATCTTTCTTTTAAATTTTCAGGGTGGTGTCACAGAGCAAAAAGTAGTGTTGCTTAATTGAAGGTCTATGGGTTATGTTTAAGGGCCAGAAGATGGGAAATATCTGTGGGTTATTATAAATACCTAGTACCTGCGTGCTATGTTTACTCCAAGGAAGAAGCTGAACAAAGACAAGAAAGTTTAATGAAGGAAGAACAGTGCCCATAGCTACCAGGAATTGATGAGGTTGACCACCTATATTAATAGATAATTCACCTTGACTTTTTAAAGTTAAGGCATGATACTGGGTGCTTTTTTTGTTCCCTGGAGTACTCCCTTTGATCTGAGTTGAGATATGTCTTTTGTCTTGGTGTATATTTTGTAAGATTGAAAACTATTTTGCTTAAACTATCTCTTCTATTTAAAATATCTACAAGTAACTGAGCATGGTAGCTCATGCCTGTAATCCCAGCACTTTAGGAGACTCAGGTAGGAGGATCACTTGAGGTCAGAAGTTTGAGGCCAGCCTGGGCAACATAGTAAGATCCTGTCTCTACGATTTTTTTTTAATTAGCCAGGCATGCTGGCACATGCCTGTAGACACAGCTACTCAGAAGGCTGAGGAAGGAGGATCCCTTGAGGCCAGGAGTTCGAGGCTGCAGTGAGCCATGATTGTGCCACTGCACTACAGACTGGGTGACAAAGCAAAACCCTGTCTGTAAAAATACATATATACAGAAAGAATTATATAATATATATCTCTATCTATCTACCTACACAGATTTTGTTACAGATAGATAAATCTGTATATAGAGATATCTATATCTTGTGTGTCTGTGTGTGTACATATATATATAGAGAGAGAGGTAGAATTATGTCATATGTATCTACCTACCTATCTACCTATATAGATATTGCTATAGATAGATCTGTATATAGAGATATCTGTATCTTGTATATACATACATATGTGTGTATATATGTGTGTGTGTATATAAAGAGAGAGCGAGAGAGAGATCTATATATAGCCATAAGTGTCTTTGTCAATGGTGATCTGTTGGGAAATGTGCCACCAGCTCTTCAATCTACAGAGTCAGAAGTTTATTTTGACTTCTGTGTCATAGTGTTCAAGAACAATTGCAAAATGTTCTACAAACTGTTAAAACACTTGTAATTCAGGTAAAAGGGTTACTTTCCATTCATGTTTCATCTTTTCTCTAGTTACATGATGCAATTATGGCCTGATTTATTTTTATTGGAAATGTTTCAATTATGGCTTTTAGAAAATGTTCTCCTGCTTTTGGACCTTTAAAAAAAACTTTGGTTTTATTGTAGAAAAGAAATATCTCTAGGTTAGTTCAATCACCTGTAGCCATCCAAGATTCCACATCTGACCTTCTGATCAGTATGTGTATAAGTTGATACAGGTCAGGCAACTCTGGGTCATATGGATAAAAAAACATTTAAGTTCTTATACAAGTAATTTATGGTTTCCTTTGAGTTTAGGGAAAATTTTTGAATTTATATACAGCTTTTTATGTAGCATGGGTAAGGCTTAAATTCTACAGCTGCCTATAAACTTAACTCATGGGAAAGATGGATCTTTAGAGGCAACTGGTATTCTTGAGTCTTAGAAGAGGTGTTGGGAAAAGGTAAAGGGTCTGGACAAGAAGGGAAAGGAGTCAGTGGAGGTATAGATGGAGAGAAATTAGAAGGACAAGGGGAAGAAGAGCGTCAGACACAAGGAATCAAATGAAGAATAAGAAGTCTGAAGATTTACTGGAGAAATAAATCTACAAGTGCTGCTTGCTTTACGATGCGGTTACATCCTGATAAACCCATCCTGAGTTTAAAATATTGTAAATCCGGAAAGCACTTAGTACACCTAACCTACCACATTTAGGTCTAGCCTACCTTAAATGTGCTCAGAACAATTATATTAGCCCACAGTTGGGCAATATCATCTAACACTAAGTTTACTTGATAATAAAGTACTAGATATCTCATGTAAGAGTATTGTGCTACATATTGCTAGCACAGGAAAATATCAAAATTCAAAATTTGAAGTTTATTTTCTACTGAATGCTTAATCACTTTCATACCATCATAACATCAGAAGATTTTAAGTTGAAACCATCGTAAGTTGGAGGCTGTCTGTAGTTTGTACTGCCTAAGTTTGTCAAATTGCCCATTGGATTTGACCAAAGAACCTTTTAGTGAAGAAATCTTTGAATCAGAATTTTATGTGGTGGTCTCTATATACCAATAAAAAAAAATGCCGCTCATGTTCTCTTTGTTTTCTAAGGTGTTTCTCAAATAAATAATGTTATTCCAGTTAAATATTCCCCAGCATGGACACTGAAAGCCCAGATTATAACTTGGGAAAAGTTATGTCATTCAGGGAGACACACATAAGAATTAAAATTTTAATGAGAATATGTATAAGAGGCAGGAATGTCTGCTGGATGACGACAGGATTTAGGCTTAGATGGTCTCATAAGATTTGGCAATAGCTGGTCAAAAAGTGATGCTTGTCCATTTCCTGTCTCAGGCACCAAATCTAATAGTTGGCCATTTTTAAATTCAGACTAGACAATCTTCACTCCACATCAGAAAGAAAACCAGAAATATTGTTCTTTCTGTGTCAAAGCCAAAACATCAGGACCGAAAATCTAGATGGAAAAAGAGCTTTGTCTAATATTACTGGTGACCCAGAGCAAAGTTTGTCCAAAATGATGCCTGTCCAGTGAGAACAACACTCACCTGTTTGTGTGGCTGACTTATGTAACAGGGTTATAAGGCATGGTTGTGTTCAAATCTGTGATTCTCCCTTTGACTAACAACAATTTTAGATAGCACAAAACAGAAGCACAAAAGGGAGGAGAACAGGATGAAAATGAATGGCCTGATTCTAACAAGAATGCCAAAATCTGGGAAGCAATAACAAAACCTGGGTGCCAAGCAGAATAAATAGCTGTGGAGCTCAACAAAAAGACAGCAGAGTTCAGACCAGGTGCTGGTTTACTATGTCAGCACAGCCTCCACTCATTGTGATCAACAAGATTCAGGGCACTCCATGGGTAATTTTACACCAAAGTGTGGGCCCCATAATGATGAACAGTTCAGGTTATATCTTGGTGGATCCTCCAGGAAAACTGCAAAAATACAGGAAGACCACCCAAGTGGGAACAAACAGAGGCTATATGTTTTAGAGCTTTCTATAGTAATGGAGTCACCATGATTTCAATTTCACAGAGATTCAAAGGCAGGCAAAAGAGTGAAAAAGCTTTGTAGCAAAAAAAATGTGGAGGGAGGATTCAGGTATACTGTAATAGAGGTTGTTGGGATGGAGAAGCTACAGGTGGACTAATTAGAAGTAGGATATCTTATATGATTGCTTTCAGGAACATGCTTGTCTTTCTCTGGTTGAGTGAATAAGAAACCGAGAAGTTGGTAGTCATTAGCCAAGTTTTGAGTATTCTGGTATGATTGCTACAGAAGTTGTGGTTTTGATTCATCAGCTGGTTGCTACAGAGGATTTGGACTAGAGTTCTGTTGTCATATATGATCTGGTTTATAACCTAATTTTGTATCTTTGCTTTACTTACCTTTTTTTTTTAGGATAGCAGGGGAAATGAGAGCAGGAAGTTGTAATAAAGAAGGATAATCGTTCTATTGCAATAGACTCAGGAGATCATTCAGTGTATGTGCCTGTCTTCTATTAGAATGGGTAGCTATTAACTAAAAAGAGGAAAAGTGATGAGAGTAATAATTCTAAAGTTAAATAATAAAAACTACAGATTTACTAATGGTTTATCCCTTATTTTGATCTTTGGACCTTCTTTCTGTCATATACCAATAATCTTTGGAACACAGATATACCTTAGAGTGGGAAATATATAAGAGCCCTACTCTTTACCCTTCTAACTCTATTCTTGTTCAGGGGGCTTTGCACCCAACTCATATATTCCACTCAAGTGTGTACACACAAGGACTTGGGCTCATTTACATTCTGATTCCAGCTTTGTATCTATAAATTCCATTTTATTTGGATCTGTTATCTCATGCTTCCACACACTGGGGTCATTATCTTGAAGCATCTAGAATTGTTTTGCAAAATGATCTCACGTATGTCTCCAAGAGCCTAAGCAGGTTTTGTTCCCAGGTCAGTCCCCTCAAGGGAGGGTAGGGGTGCAGGTGTGAAGGGTAGCCAGAAGGGTATTTGCATTTGGTAAAAACAGGGATTGTAGGTGCAGGTTAGGATGTCCTCACATGTGCACATAAAGCTTTTTCAGCATGTTAGTGTGAATATGTCTTGCTCTTGTCTCTTACATACTGTTTTAGTCCATCTTTACACCTCTATAAAGAACTACCTGAGACTGGGTAATTTATAAAGAAAAAAAGGTTTAATCATAGTGGAATGTAAAGGGGAAGCAAGGCATGCCTTCCATGATGGCAGGAGAGAGAGAGAGCAAGGAGAGAACTACCAAACACTTGTAAACCATCAGATCTTCTGAGAACTCACTCACTATCATGAGACCAACATGGGAAAAACCACCTCCATGATCCAATCACCTCCCACCAGGTCTCTTCCTTGACACATGGGGATTACAATTCGAGATGAGATTTAGGTGGGGACACAGAGCCAAAACATACTGGTCCACCCCTGGAACATTTTTACTCCAAATCTCATATCCTTCTCACATTTCAAAACAGAACCATGCCTTCCCAACAGTCCCCCAAAGTCTTAACTCATTCCAGCATTAACTCTAAAGTCCAAGTCCAAAGTCTTATCTGAGACAAGGCAAGTCCTTTCCATCTATGAGCCTGTAAAATCAAAAGTAAGTTAGGTATAATGGGGGTACAGGTATTGGATAAATGCTGCCACTCCAAATTGGAGAAATTGGTCAAAATAAAGGGCCCACAGGCCCCATGCAAGTCCAAAACCTGGCAGGGCATACATTAAATCTTAAAGCTCCAAAATAATCTCCTTTGACCCCATGTCTCACATCCAGGGCACGCTGATGCAAGAGGTGGGCTCCCATGGTTTGGACAGCTCTGCCTATGTAGGTCTGCAACATACAGCCCCTGTGGCTGCTTTCACAGGCTAGCATTGCATGCCTAGGCTTTTCCAGGCACATGGAACAAGCTGTCAGTGGCTCTAGCATTCTGGGGTCTGCAGGACAGTGGCCCTCTTCTCACAGCTCCACTAGGCAGTGCCCCAGAGGAGACTCTGTATCTCCAATCCCACATTTTCCCTCTGCCTTGCCCTAGTATAGGTTCTTTATGAGGGCTACACCCCTGCAGAAAACTTCTGCCTAGACATTCAGGCATTTCCATATACCCTCTGAAATCTAGGTGGAGACTCCCAAAGCCTAATTCTTGTCTTCTGCATACCCACAGACCCAACACCATGTGGAAGCCACCAAGGCTTGGGGCTTGCAACCTCTGAAGCAATGGCCCAAGCTGTACAATGTCTCCTCTTAGCCACAGTTGGAGCTGGAGTGGCTGGGATACAGGGCACCATGTTCCAAAGCTGCACAGAACAGCAGGACCCTGTGCCTGGCCCACGAAACCATTTTTCCCTCCTAGACCTCTGGGCCTGTGATGCAAGGGGCTGCCATGATGATCTCTGAAATGCCCTAGAGACATTCTCCCCATTGTCTTGGCTATTAACATTTGGCTCCTTGTTACTTATGCAAATTTCTGCAGCCAGCTTGAATTTCTCCCCAGAAAATGGGGTTTTCTTTTCTACCACATGGTCAGGCTGCAAATTTTCCAAACTTTTACATTCTGCTTCCCTTTTAAACATGAGTTCCAATTTCAGATCATCTCTCTGTGAATGCATATGACTATATGCTTTTAGAAACAGCCAGGTCAAACCTTGAATGCTTTGCTGCTTAGAAATTTTCTTCACCAGACACCCTAAATCATTTGAACTCTCAAGTTCAAAGTTCCACAGATCTCTATGGCAAGGGCAAAATGCTGCCCTTTAGTCTCTTTGCTAAAGTATGACCTTTACTACAAGAGTGACCTTTACTACAGTTCCCAATAAGTTCCTCATCTCCATCTGAGGCCACTTCAGCCTGGACTTGTTGTCCATATCACGAACAGAATTATTCAACAAGTCTTTAGGAAGTTCAAAACTTTCCTACATCTTCCTATCTTCTTCTGAACTCTTCAAAGTATTCCAACCTCTGCCCATTACCCAGGTCCCTGGTTGCGTCTACATTTTTAGGTTATCTTTATAGTAGTACCCCACTATCCCAGTACCAATTTTCTGTATTAATCAGTGTTCATACTGCTATAAAGAACTACCTGAGACTGGGCAATTTATAAAGAAAAAAGGTTTAATTGACTCACAGTTCTGCATGACTGCAGAAGCCTCAGGAAACTTAAAATCATGGTAAATGGCAAAGAGCAAGCAAGGCACATCTTCCATGGCAGCAGGAGAGAGAGTGAGGGAGGAATCACCATTTTTAAACCATCAGATCTTGTGAGAACTCACTCATTATAATGAGAACAGCATGAGGGAAACTTCCCCCATGATCAAATCACCTCCCACCACGCCCTTTCCTGGACACATGGGGATTACAACTCAAAATGAGATTTGGAAAGGGACACAAAGCCAAACTTTATCGCGTACATTCAAACAACTGAGTAGTTCAGTTTGGAAATCCACAGGCCTCCTTTTTTCTGTTCTATATGGCCTTGTTATTTGTGGTGTGTTCCAAGAATCATCAGTATCACCTGGGAGCTTGTTAGAAATGCAGAATATTAGTCCCCATTCCAGACATATTTAATCAATTATTTTACCAAGACCACCACCAAAATGACTCATATGCTCCTTAAAATGTAAGAAACACTTCTATAATATGTTAGCTTTCTTCTTTCTTATATTCACTTAAGACTTATCCACCCAGGGAGGGCAGGTTCCATGCCAGCTTACTCATTTGTCTTAAATGCTTAGGGCAGTCTGACTCACAGTATGCATTTTGTAATTTAAATGAATTAATTGATGAATTATTGAAGGAGACAGAAAGTGAATGAGTTCCACGTTTTTATAAAGTTGATACACTAATCTTCAAATTTGTTCTGTTAAGAAATGTATAAATTACCCACCTAAATATCAAAATGCAACCACAGCATCATAACTAGACTAAGGGGCTAGACTTGACTACTCCAAGACCCTCCGAATAGTTTTCTGTACAGGATTTGGTAAATTGAGGCCATGTCCAGTTTTTTCCTATACTACTCATAATAAAACATGCCTATGAACACCTGCCAGTATTTATAACTACTTTATGCTTTAAGAACTTCAGTAGGATACTGATATATAAGCAAAATTCACCTGGACATGGTGATAGTGTCTAAGCACTTTTCCCTATAATATCTCCAGTTTTATATAGTTCTCCTGTACTAAATTGGCAATGTAATTTTTTTTATATAATAAATAGTGTTTCTGTCCTTGAGCCTCATGCAGTATTTCAGACAATAACATGATTTGTTTCTTCACACTAGTGTTACTTTATAATCAGATTGCTATAAAGCTAATTAAATGCTCCTCAACTATCTAGTTAGAACTTAGAAGGGGATGCTAATGTCTTCAAGTCCTAAAGTTACATTTAAAAAATCAGGCATATTCAGTCACACATTTGAATTTTTTTTTAAGTAGTGCCCATAACAAAATACTGGTTTGGAAAAATAAGGTAACAAACCTAAAGAATTTCTCGGTTTTAGCATATTTCATTAATTCATTAATTCATTCAGTGAATATTAACCAAAAGGCTTCTCTTTATAAAACTCAGCTCTAATCAATGTGAAAAATCAAAAGCAAAATACAATAATTCCTACCTTTCAGTGGGTCTCCAACATTTTCCTATACAATTCTTCCAGGATGATGGTAACTTTATTTTTTCGTATGTTTAGGAATTCCTAAAAATGATTAAATATATGATGTGGTTTAATATTTTAATGCCTTTACTCCACCATTCCCTAATAATTCATGCATTTATTCATTCAACAAATATTTTTTGGAATACAGCAAATACCAATACGTTGGCCACACAGTGGTGAATGAGAACAACAATATTGCTAACCTCTTGGAACTTATAGTCTAGTGGAGAGAGACAGAAAATAAATAACTAAACTGTATATGAGATCACTGCAGAGAGTGATAAATTCTATTAAAAAAGAAATAAGGACAATATAAATAAAAATAATTGGGGGATATGGGCTCTTTTCGGCAGGGGAGCTAAGCTTTATCAGATGAAGTGATTTAATTAGAGATATAAGTAGTAACAAGGAGCCAGGCATGTGTTCATCCAGGAGAAAGATGATCCAAGCAGAGAAAGCAGCAAATATAAAGATATTAAAGTGAAAACAAGCATAGTACAAAAATGTTCTAAACTGCATTCCCAAGTGAACTAGTTTCACAATGAAATATACTACAGTCTTTAAATGACAGACTCTGCAGAAATTACTTAAGATTTCTAAAACATAAATGGTCCTTCAATTTATACTATGAAGCTCTTATGATTTATTACCAAACTAGACAAATGAAGTACAAAAAAGACAGAATTATAATCATTATAGAAGAAGATAAAGAAAATTTCTCTGCATTCCAACTATCACATTTACCAACATATTTGCATCTGTATTTGTACACTCACTTTCTCTACCCCAATGTAAATTACTCCACTTACATGCTAATTAGATCTAAAATTTCTTGCTCATTCAATGATTTAGTTCCAGCAACCCTATCTCTCTCTCAATTTCCGACTTTCTCCTGAATTATTCCCAGCCACATACAAAAATGATGTTTTCTTCCATCTTTTAAAAAATGTAAAACCTCTTGATTGCACTCTTATATTTAATTCCTGTCCTATTTTTCTGTTTCCCCTTATGCAAAACTCAGGAAATGTTTTTGCGCTCACCATCTCTAATTCCTCCTCTTCTATTCTTTCTTGAACCCATTCTAATCAGACTTGACATTCATATCACTTCATGAAAATACCTCTTGTCAAGATTGTGAATAGTCCCCCTGACCCCACTGTCAAGTCCAATGGCCAATTCTGTGTTCTCATCTTACCTGAGTAGTGGACAGCATGGTGTGAGAGCTCACTCCCTTGCTCTTGGAGCATATATTTTACTTGCCCCCCAGAAGAGTGCTCACCCCTGATTCACTTCTAAATGTAGCCTATTTCACCAATTTTTAACTTTTAAATAATTTAAATTTTTTTTCTTTTTTCACTACCCTTACTCCTGAGGTTAATTCAAGTTTTATGGCTTTATATATTATCCACATACCAACGACTCGCTACACGTATCTTCAGCCCACTGAATTTTATACTGACATAGGATCAATTCAACTGCATTTGACTCTCATAGGTGTCTCTAACTCAGCATGCTCAGATGGATATCTTGCTTCTCCCCAGTTCAAACCTATTCCTCTTTAGGCCTCCCCATTTCAGTAAAAATAGCAACTGCATTCTTAAAATTTAAAATGTATTTCTCAAAAGATGCTTACTAGCTAATTAGCAGTCATATATAGGCTGAAAATGCCATGAGGCTTTGTATTTGTTTGATTTTTATAACTTACTGAATTTCAGTATACTTATTGAACTTTTGAAACCATAAGAATTGTTACCAAACTAGATGAAAAAAAAGTATAAGGACTATTAGTTCTTACAGTTTTGTTGATTATTTGGGGTTTTTTAGGTTGACAATCATTTTCTTCCCATAATTCACATGCTAGTTTTAGTCTTACTTTCCAATATTAAAACTCATTTCTTTTAAATTTCAAATTATTAAAATAAAACTTTCAGCAATGTTAAACGATAGCACTCCTGTCAACCTTCTAGCTTTTAAAGACAATACTTCCGATGTACTTTAAAATATAATGCTGACTATTAATTGAAGACAAATACTGTTTATTATATTCAAGAAATATTCTATTCTTAGTTTTCTAAGAATTTTATTAGACACAGCTTAATTTTATTAATGGGCATTGTTTCAATGATGATCATGTTCTTTTAATTTTATTAATGGGTTGAATTTTATAACTGGATTAAGTCTTTCTTGGTCACTGTACAGTTTTCTTGTACCAGCATGCCTAAATTGATTCAATTTAGGATTTTTTATGCATGTAAGTTGATTGATAAGTGAATCTTTTATTTATTTATTTATTTAGAGATGGGGTCTTGCTCTCTTGCCCAGGCTGGAGTGCAGTGGCATGATCACAGCTCACTTCATCCTTAAATTCCTGGGCTCAAGGGATCCTCCTGCCTCAGCCTCCCAAGTAGTTGGGACTACAGGCATGCAGCAGCTAAGTTTTAAGAATTATTTTATTTATAGAGATGGCGGGGGGTCTCACTGTCTTGCCCAGGCTGCTCTTGAACTCCTGGTGTCAAGCAATCCTCCTGTCTTGGCCTCCGAAAACACTGAGATTACAGATGTGAGCAACCATGTGCCCAGCCTATGCACCTTTCGAGCTGTCTTTGTTTTGAGTAGGGTTATATTAGCTTTACAGATTGAATTGAATTAAAAGAAAACTAGCCTTTTTAAATATGTACAGTGGTGGTGTAAATCTCACCTATAAAATCACATGGGCTGCAGCCTTTGAGGGGAGCTATTTATTGCTAACTTTTTCAATCTCCTATTGTTCTGTTTCTTTTATCTACTTCTTGTTGAGACAATTTGGTTTACTTTATATTATTCCTAAATTTCTTCATTTTATCAAAACTATTAAACTTATTGATATCAGCTTTAAAAGACATCTTCCTACAAGTATTTCAATGTATCTCCTACATGTGGCTCTATCTTCCCCCCACTTTAATATATTTTTGTTTTCTCACTGTTTCCCCAAGCAAACATCCTGTGAGGTTGAGTATTTTTATTAACTTTTCAATTATTTATCAATGTATGTTTTTGATTTCCTTAATCATTAACTTCTGGTTTTAGGTTTTGCCCACTTTTTCTTTTCCTTTTCAATGTTTCAAAATTTTAGGTATTCTTTTTCTGCCACTTGCACTTGAATGTTTGATTTTCTCCTGTTTTATAATAAAACGATTCCAGACTATTGGTTTATCACTGAGTAGAGCTTAATGTGTTGTTATTCTTTTTTTAATAGTGTACAATTACAGTTTTGATGTCATTTTATTATGAGTTAATCTGGATAGTAACTTTTATTTCTAAATGGTTGTTTTTTATTGTTGTGATTTTTTTCATTTGTGATTTCCAAAGGTAGATCACACAATTATATGTCATTGTAATTGTGAACACACAGACACACACAAACACACATCCCATAGACTTGATCATTAACCTGGGAGTAATTAAGAAGACCACAAGAGAGCTTAACTATGGGCAGAACCAATCATATTTTTACTATAGAAAGCCTTTCTAATTTCCATGTGAAGAAGGAAGTTCAGAAGGGCAGAGAGACTTGTTAGGAATATGTAGAGTAATCCAGGCAAGAGATCATGGTATCCTGAAATAAAGGACTGTGGATATAGAGAAATATGGATACATTTATGAGATATATATCCTGTCAGTAGTATTGGTTAATGAAGGATAGAGAGTAAAAAAAGATGACACTGGGGATCCTGGCTTGAGCAACAGTTGATGCCATCCACTGAGATAAGGAAGAGGGAGGAGGAGCAAAGGTGGAGGGAGGAAAGAGTTGAGACAGGTAGTTTCCAATGCCTATAAATCTCTAAATTGAGATGATAATAAAGAAAAAGAAATCTGGCTATTTTATTGCATTTTTTTAAAGGAGAAGAAAGAGATAAAAGGTCTAGGTAAGAGACGAAGATTTGGCGGTCATCATTGTATGTCTGATAATAGAACTCGTTGAGTAAGTGAGATTATGTGGAAATAATCTCTAGGCTGAAAGAATAGCCTACAATTGAACCTTAAATTCTGAGAAAAATCTTTATTTCGTCTTTCTCATTTTTAAAAAAGTAAACTCTAAAACTATTAATATATGTAATCTTATACATAATTCTGTTTACTGTATTTCAAAATGGAGTCATTTTATGCATACCTCTCTTAATCTCAACTTTCTTCCTCTAATTCACATCTTGTAATAATCCTTTAAAATGAGTTGGTCTGGCTCCATTTCATTCCTTTCATATTCCATAGGGGAATTATATTCCATAGGGGAGAGAACAATAAATTATTGAACTATTTTCTTAGTTAAGCATTTTCTTTGTGTTCTATTTTGTGCCAAGACAAATAAGACTGCAATAAACATCTTTGAAAATTAGTCCTTATATATTAGTAGTTGGGCATGGTTTGTTAGCAATATCACATGGTGAAAACTTGACTCTAGCCTTTTTTTTTTTTTTTTTTTTTTCAGCTCTACATTAGCTTAAAAGATAGCAGCTTTTTCCCTGGTGTGATGAGAGTGCTAGCAGCCAAGCTTTATAATTTTGTTTCTAGGATGTGGCAAGTGGGTAACATGACCCCTTTATTCTGCATTCACAATGGGGAAGAGCGTGGTAGATTAGGCCATATTCTGGCTTGACTGAAAAGGCTGAGTTCAAATATTCAGGTTGACCAGGATTAATTGTCTTATGCACTCAGTTGTCACCAGTTTCCAGAGACTTTTCAGGAAACCACCTTCTTTTCTAGGAGGCTGGTCTACAAGAGATCAGTCTTGGGCAGAATAATCCCTAACTCTTAATATCTTTGGCTAGTTTTCTTTTAATTTCTACTCTTCTGCTCCTCTCTCTCTCTCTCTTTCTCGCTCTCTCTCTCTGTCTCTGTCTTCCCTTCTCCATAAATCATTTCAAAAACTCATACATAATTGGTAGTTGAAGTGATTCAACCACTTCGGGAAACAGTTTGTCAGTTTCTTTAAAAGCTAAACATATGCTTACTACCCAGCCTGGGAATTTCATCCTAGGCATCTACCCAAGAAAAATAAAAAC